GATGGAGACACTGGGGACGGGGATCGAGATGATGGGGATCGGGATCGATATGCAGGTGAAGGGGATCGAGATGGAGACGCCGGGGACGGGGATCGATATGGAGATGATGGGGATCGAGAAGGAGACGCCGGGGCCGGGGATCGAGATGGAGATGAAGGGGACGGGGATCGAGAGGAAGGGGACGGGGATCGAGATGGAGATGCTGGGGATCGAGATGCAGGTGAAGGGGATCGAGAAGGAGACGCCGATGGAGACGGGGATCGAGATGGAGATGCTGGGGATCGAGATGGAGATGCTGGGGATCGAGGTGGAGATGCCGGGGATCGAGATGGAGATGAAGGGGATCGAGAAGGAGACGCTGGGGCCGGGGATCGATATGGAGATGCCGGGGATCGAGATGGAGACGGTGGGGCCGGGGATCGAGATGGAGAAGAAGGGGATCGAGGTGGAGATGAAGGGGATCGAGATGGAGATGCCGGGGATCGAGATGGAGACGATGGGGATCGGGATGGAGATGTAGATGGGGGGGATGAAGGTAGCGGTGGAGAAGAAGGGGATCGAGACGCCGATGGAGACGGGGATCGATATGGAGACGCAGGAGACGGGGATCGAGGTGAAGGGGATCGGGATCGAGATGGAGATGCTGGGGATCGAGATGGAGACGACAGGGATCGAGATGGAGATGCTGCTGGAGGCGGGGATCGAGATGGAGATGAAGGGGATCGAGATGGAGATGAAGGGGATCGAGATGGAGATGCTGGGGATCGAAATGGAGACGACAGGGATCGAGATACAGGTGAAGGGGATGGAGATGGAGATGAAGGAGACGGGGATCGAGATGGAGATGGAGACGCGGGAGACGGGGATCGAGATGGAGAAGGGGAGGAGGATGGGGATCGAGTTGGGGATCGGGCTGGTGATGGGGATGGTGATGGAGATGGAGAAAGTAAAGAGACAGAGACAGTTGATGGAGAAGGAAAAGAGACAGAGACAGAAGATGGAGAAAGTAAAGAGACAGCAGATGGAGAAGATAAAGAGACAGAGACAGCAGATGGAGAAAGTAAAGAAACGGAGACAGTTGATGGAGAAAGTAAAGAGCCAGAAGATGGAGAAGATAAAGAAACGGAGACAGCAGAAGAAGGTGAAGAGGCGGAGACAGTAGATGGAGAAAGTAAAGAGACAGAGACAGCAGATGGAGAAAGTAAAGAAACAGAGACAGCAGATGGTGAAGGTAAAGAGACAGAGACAGCAGATGGAGAAAGTAAAGAAACGGAGACAGTTGATGGAGAAGGTAAGGAGACAGAAGATGGAGAAGATAAAGAAACGGAGACAGCAGAAGAAGGTGAAGAGACGGAGACAGTCGATGGAGAAAGTAAAGAGACAGAGACAGCAGATGGAGAAAGTAAAGAGACGGAGACAGCAGATGGAGAAAGTAAAGAGACAGAAGATGAAGGTGAAAAGACAGAGACAGCAGAAGGAGAAGGTAAAGAGACAGAGACAGCAGAAGGAGAAGGTAAAGAAACGGAGACAGCAGAAGGAGAAAGTAAAGAAACGGAGACAGCAGAAGGAGAAGGTGAAGAGACGGAGACAGTAGATGGAGAAGGTAAAGAGACAGAGACAGAGACAGAGACAGAGACAGCAGAAGGAGAAAGTAAGGAGACAGTAGATGGAGAAGGTAAAGAGACAGAGACAGCAGGAGGGTCTGAGTCTGGGGATCGTGTTGTGGGGTCGTCTCCAGCAGCTGGGGATCGTGTTGCTCTGTTCCGG